AAGCTTCATATCCTTACATTTAGATTAGAAATAAAAATGAAAAATAAAATGTCTGTCGTTTGTTGGTTGTTTAACTTGGATTTATTAATCTTCGCCAAAAAGTCATAGTAAAAAGGTATTGAAGGAGCACACATTAATGTTCAATGTTTTACTTAGTACGTTTTTATTACAAATGTATATGGAAGGTTTGTAGCTAGACACTAATCTCATTAATATATAAATAGTATGATGAACCTTTTATTTATAGCATCAAAACTACTTTGCAAAAGGGAATGCTCCCCTAAACTTGTCATTACTGTAACAGCGTTATATGACAATTTTACATTGCATATGCTTACTTGTTTTTACTACTACTTGGAACCATTTATCTGGCAATTGATTAATGGCAGAATCGCTTGTACAAAATCTTTAACGACCAATTAATGAATACGTGTGAAAGTAAATGCCAAACTAATTTTACATGGAATGTAAGCAGAGACAGTCATACGGCTTTTAGAAGTCTTATGTTCATTATGCTTTGAAGTTAGTCACTAAGTAAACAGATTTGACATGACTTTGTGTGATTGTTCTTGGTCCGATAAACGTGAAACTTAGCAGCTACGTTTAAGTTAAATAAATGGCTACAAAATGACAACTTCACTATTTTTGAATGTTAAAACATGCCATGCATGTAGTATAAATAAGAAACTGTTGATGTTGTAATGGTGTAGATTATTCATGGACCATACATTCAAGTGTAGGAGTATATAATGATGTTGACCAAACATTGTGAAGGGGTCTGATGGGTAATTATTTGGTGATGCAAAACAAAATAACAATGGTACGAAAAATATACCTGTTGATTTTTGCAAATATAAAACGAACAGTATAGCTCCAAGTATATTAGAATTGTTTAAATTGTATATATGACACAGTAGTGTTGTATCGAGAACGAAGAACATTTTCTAATTGATCACTTATTCAAGTAAAGACCTACTCCTTTTGTAGTGAGGGTTTGGTCCAGATACTGATAATTTTCATAGTTTTAAACTTAGACAAAGATTTTTGTAGTAACATTTTATATATTTATCTATAGTTTGAACACTTAATTTTTATATCAGTATTTTAATCTACGATCACATGTGTTAGTGTTCTGTTTGTCTGGAACGAAATTGCCTTGTCAAATACTTTACTTGATTTGCAGTCCTGCAGAATGTTAATTTAGATAACAAATCAGCTTTGCAATTATACAGTCTGCCGAATTAAAAAGATAAATAAATAAATGGACAAGCAGTGTATGGCTGTACTGAATGAGATCAGCGATGTCATTACTTCTATGATACTTGAAATGGAAAATACTCATTTCACATTTACCTAAATCAGTCTATGATTATTGATTTCTTTAATCAGTTTCTGGTAACCAAACCCTATCAATTATTCGATAATTTTAACTTTAAATACTGCAGCAATTACGTATTGTATGTTATTGCACTTTTCACGGCTGTAGTGTTAATATTATTTGGAATATCAATAAACTCGTTTAAAAACTTGCTTCTTGTCCAAAACAATATATTTTATTGGCAACCAGTTAGCAATATAGTTTATGTGATAAACATAATTATACTCTAAAACAATCAGTTGTAGGAATTGATGATATTTTAGTATGTTTGTAAACTGATTTGTCAATTTTCGTGCATATTTTTCTGTCAAGTCAGGTCCAAAAACCTACAAAATGGCATATGCATGCATATTAAAAGTGCTTCCATAAAACATGAAAATAAATACAGTTGAACATTATAATTCTACTGTTTTCAATTTTATCTTATCATATGGTGAATACAATTATATCAATTTCATTATCATAATTTGTCCAATATATCTTAATTATACTAAATAAAAGTGTTTTGCAAACTCAAACATCAAATGTGCTGCGTTTGGTTTCATCACGTTTAATGGCTATAAACAATTGAAGACTAAAAATAGTGTTCATATTTATAGTGTAAGCTTGACTAGGGAAATTCTGTCTTATGGTTAGAAAGTGCGTGATAAAATTATTACAACAAATAAAGACCATTACATAATTATATTTCTTTGCTTTTTAAGATGAACTCTACATTTCAGGTCAGAACAGAAACATCTATTTTGAGTCCTAAGATGGCGATTTCCTTTCAATGTCATAAAAAACATAACAATGATAGCATGCACGTCTGTAACATTATTTGACACATTCTTCAATGAGTTTGAGAATTGGGAGAGTTTTGACCTTTTTATTAAAAAATGAAAAAGAAAAGACTTATTCTTAAAATATGAACATGATTTATGTGTGGCAAACACAATACGTTCTATTATTTGTCTAATCAACAGCCTTCGGCCCATGTAAGGAATAAATACACTTACAAAAACATCAATAAAGCATAGCATGTGTATTAACAAAAATGTATAATTTACAATTCTATTTATAACTAGTCTATATCGTATTCTTTGTGCGAATGCATAGTATAAATACACAACAACATACTTTATAGTTTCTTCATTTCTAGTCGACATGATCATATTAAATGTGTTAATATTTGGTTAAAAAAACATTTCAAAGGTATGTATGCTGCCCGTAAGTCAGAATAATAATACCTGTTATCACCTTTAATATAATATTCTGGTATCTTTCTAGTAGGTAGTTCGGAAGCTTTCTTTTGAAAATGAGTTAAATCGTCTGCCCATTATAATCAAAATTGTTTGGTATTATTTACCTGCACTCCAGTTACAGCAATGTTTGTCGATTGTCGACTGATTATTGGATATAGTTTTCTTCTGGGGTTTACTTACTGTTACAGCATGGAAAAGGAGTCACTTGCAGATGCTCGTACATGGTTACATTTTTATGGGGTTCCATATTGTGAGGACAGGATTTTTTTTTCATTTCTGCCTAAAATACAAAAGAGAAAAGACAAACACCACCAAAACGCTCGGCAATCTGATTTATATTCGACACTCTTTCTATTAATGTGTTATCATGTTTTAATGAGTAATCATGCTTCATTATGATGTACAAATTTGTTTTTCTAAAAATTCAAAATGACTTTAAATAATAATATCGAAATTCCATACAGATTTGATAGGAATAGTATTAATGAATCACATAAGCAATCATAATAAAAAAACGCAACGCCTAAACAATTATTTCAGCTGAAAAAGTTCAATACCAGTACCGAGCCTGGATGTTCAGTTTAGGTTAGTAATACTTTTTTTCTAAAAAAAAGTTTCAATATTTTCATAAATGTCGTTTTATTATTTTTTCCATTTTATTATTTACGAAGAGTGTAGCATTTTGAAGATATCCTTGTATTATCCTCGAAACCATCTAAATACTTGTAACATTTAATGGGAACAATACTCATTAAAATATATCTTTTCAAAATAGAATGACGTTTTAATGGAAGAATGACAGATATCTCATAACTATTTCATGAACAATTCCTTACGAGACAGAGCCATTATAGCTTAAAGGTTACAAAATATGTTTCCAAGCAATATATTAATTGAAGTTGGATATCAGTCATTGAAACACATACTTTTTTACAAACAACATGTTGACGGGAAATATAAAAACGAAGAAACATTTGAATGATTACAAAATTATGCTTTCGAGAGATCACAAAGAACGGGGAGTGAGTCTGCACTGATTTCTTTTTTATTTGTTTTGATTTAGAACCATTTTAAGCCATTCGGACTACTTTCCCATGAATCAATATGATTTTTAAATGCGTATTCACAATGTTTTGCCTAAGCTTAGCGCAAGAAGTTAAACTATGTTTTAAAACGTTGTAAAATGTTCTAGGACCAGCAATAATTAATGGTTTGTTAAAAATAAAAGAACGATTAAGACCACATAATCATTTGTATCATAGTATGGGGACCTTTTTGTTGAAAATATGTCAGATTTAAATCGTATACACATACAAGCTTAGTGCGTTACCTGGATTGCAGGTACCAATTACCTGCACTCCAGAGCATGCCTATTCAGGGGCGTAGCTAGACCGAAATTGATGTTACAGTTTTGCGGGGGGTTAAGGGGGCCGCTATAGGCCCCCTTGCAGGTCCTGGATTTTCACCATTTATAGATGCTATAATCATGCATTCCATGTCAATTTGAGGTCCATAAAATAAGAAATTTAAGTCAAAATAAATTTAATTCTATCATTAATAAATTTTAATGCAATAAGACTAGTGTTAATATGCGCCGTAATTTAGAGTACAATATAATTGCTAGATCGTATAACAATATTTCAAGGTCTTTTATGAACGTTATACGTTATCAGGATATACATTGCACTAATTTAACAGACGCAGATAAATGACGCTGTCACTTAATCCGCAAATAAAAGTGACATACGGCGATTTTTGCGTCGTGCAAAGGTATCTACTACAAGGTCAGCCTAAATCTCCTTGTCTCTGTGAATGTGTAAAAGTCCTAACCCCGAGAGACGACCAGTGGTCATCGTTGAGCGCAAAAAGGTATTCAGCCTTCTCATGCTGCTGAATGACCGTTCAGCGCTCGCCGTAGACACTGGCATTGACAGGAGCAAATGCAGGCACCTGTTAACATTTGGATACAGCTCTGTCGGTAAATCCTGTAGCACATTTTCTATTGCTGACGGAGCCTGCAACAGCGAAGATTCGCACCGTGTCTTCCAGCGTCCACATTCGCGCAAAAAGGTTTCCTGATCGTCCACCAAAACTGCTTGTACGATAGAATAAATTTCATCCATCCGTTGACTACCCTGTCTGGCAAGAGAAACTGAATAACGTATCTCTCGTTATTCTGAAGAAGGCGATTTTCTATCTCAGAGACAAGGTGATCCACAAATGGCAAATACATGTTGATACGCCAGTACTCTGATGGAGTTTGAGCGGGTGCATTAGGGCGATTTTTCTGTCTACCCCCACGCGGCAAAGAAGGCTGGACATCAACAGAATCTGCCATGCTGACTGCCTTCTCATATAAGGCATCCCACACCAACGGATCATTTCTCTACCTGCGTTTTGACAACTTCTGCTTCGGTGGCAGCTTGGACTAGATCACATGTTGTTGACTGAAGAAGCTTGGATAGCTGCACACTCCCTGACAATACATGTTCAATAGCTACAAGAGTTATTATAAAACTGAACTGTGTAATTGCAGCTCTGTATGCTCCGGCCTTTGTGTCGTTGTTTTCGCTCAACCTCTCTAGTGATTTGACGACCGTCCCGTACGCTGTTTTGAAAGTGTATAGCGCGTCCGCCCTGGCTGCCCATCTAGTTTCACAGAGCGTCTGCAGTTTCTTACGCTTTTCCATTTCAACTCGTTCGTGGTCATTTTCAGCTAAGGATGCCTGGAACTGAAAGAGACGTTTGGCCGAATAATCGAACAGAAATGCTATCTCCTGGACCGTGCCCATCATGTTGCGTGCAAGGGGCTCCTTTGATGCATGTACAATTGCAAGGTTGAGAGAATGGGCCTTGCAGTGTGTATATAGTGCCTTAGGAAATATCTGTCGAATACACGCCTGTACCCCTCGATATTGCCCGGCCATATTGGCAGCGCCGTCATACCCTTGTCCTCGCATTTTCTGAAGATTCACTCCAGCTGTCTCGAGGTTTTGAAGAAAGGCATTCGCGAGAGCCTCGCCGGTGGTGGCAGAACAGTTTGCATAGCACAAGAAATCCTCGCAGACCCGGGAAGGTGCACAGTCGTAGTACCTTAAAAGGGAAAAAAGTAAATACTGCAATATAATTTTGTATTTTTAATACGAGAACACTGTGGATCCAAAAAATAAATAATAAATCCATAAAATACTTTTAAATTATCCATAAAATAATATCAGTAACACTTTCTGACACAGTATAACATTCACACAGTGCTTTATTTATTTATTTATTTTTGGGCGAGCGTTTTCATTAGTATCAATTCATCAATTTTTAAATTTTCAGAAATTAATGCCTTTTCTTCTGATTTTAGATTTTTGTTTCGCAATTCACGTATCGTTACGAACTAAAAACTAAGATGTTATTAGTTACAAGTAACAACGCAGTCATGACTGTTATCTTTGCTCAATGTTCGCGTAGCAGTCAAACGTCTGCATGATATCATCTTCGCACGTGGTTCTGTTTCTAGCGCCACAATGAATCGGTTGGAAGTGACTGTTATTTACTTATAAAACATAAAACAAGAAAACTTATTTTTTTCAGCGAATCTGCTATATATCACACGGAAAAGTGTGCTACGCTTTTGTTTCTGAACCTGATATATAGCATATTCATTCAAACATAGTAAGCATATATCATCTAATTCCTGAAATTTAGTTCCACTGTGTATAAGCAGTATACATTCGTACATATTCGTGTAATTTCATTACTGAATTTATAATAATATTTTGCTCCCGAGACTGCATAATATGATTTTTTTCAACTCGTTCAATAAAAATAATTTTAGTATTTGAATAAAACATTATTTTGCTCGCATAATATGATTTTATTCAACTTGTTCAATAAATTCAGTATTGAACTTACACTCATTCATTATCCTGTACTTATCACATAACCGTGTCGTGCATATTTTTTAACGTGACGTCATTTTTCTCGTATAAACATAGCGTTAAGACGCGTTAAATGTTTACATTATACAGTACTATAGGCGCGTCAATGAAAAATGGTTCTTTTTCACTTCAAACGGTCTTTTTGGTATGTGATAAAATAGAATATTAAATTCACACGAATATATCTTATGCACCTATATAACAATAAAAATCAACGTTTTTATTATTTATTGTTTTTCATTGACGCGCCTAAAGTGTTAAAGTGTGATAGAATGACGTTAATGACTTATGGTTATAATGCTAGTTTACATGTTCATGAAAAACAAGTGACGTTACGTGATTTATTTTATGATTTTATGATATGTTATTTTGTATGTTTATGACCATATTCAACGCATATTTATTTTTATGTCTATACATGTGTTGAAACTAAAAGAGATATACAAATGTATAGTTTTAAACTTACACAATAATGAATAAAAAAACTCAATATACTGTAAAGTTTATATGTACCTAAGAACAATAGCCATTTGCTCCATGGTCGCCGCATCTGTGGCCTCGTCGGCAATAAAACCGAAGAATGGAGCGGCGTTGCATGCCTCCACAATTGTTTTACTGATGATCTCGCCACATATAGAGATTAACTCGTTTTGGATTTCGGGCGAGGTGTATTTCGTACGAGGATTGTCGTGCTCAAGGTGGTCCCGTAAGACTGTATTGTCCTTTGCCTGAAGTTGATGAATTGCGGCGAAGTTACTCCTGTCGTCTTGGTGACGCCGAATCGCAATATTCTGCCTTCCGCACAATATCAAACTGTCCACAATATCAACTAATATTTTCCGGTTTTTCTCAACAGTCTGTTCATGTGCGCTCGATAGACTGCATACTATGTCCTTTTTGTCTCCGGTCATCACAGAAATAAAGTTGTGGGCAGCCTCGCATGATTCTCTATGCAAATTTGAAACTGCATGAGCTTGAATGGTTTTTCCAATGTTGCTGGGGTCGACAAGAGGGACAGCTGCGAGTGATTTTTGTTTAGAGTTTTCATCTTTACCACTGAATAAAAAACACGGTGCACAATATACGCCCTGCTTACTTGTTGAATAATGCAACCATGTGTTATCGACAAACCAACGGAACTGTATCTTTCGAAATTTTCCTCCAACATATCTGAAAATGAATAATAAAAAAGAAAACGTTATTAAAAGGATCGGGAAAAAAGGGAAGTAATTATCAGTATTTGAACCTACAGGGGTACGCGATTTTTCGCACTGCAGTTCTGTGCTTTAACCTACTGAGCTACGCGGGACATTGATAACGTGTATGATAAACTTTAATATGAATAAAAAAATGAAAAAATCGATTAAGCACATATTTAAACAAAATTTATGAAAATAACTTATTGTAAATCTATAACATAATTATGTAAAGGGAACTATAGGCCTAGTGATGTTTTTAAAATTAAAACAGAGATAGATAAAAAAAACAAAGTACTTTTAAAAATACAAACAACTAGATTCTAGACCTAGCTCTAATCTAGTTAATCAATCACAAAAGGTTAAATAGAAGGCCCTTACTTGCTCGGAATTCCGTAATGATGAACAGATTCCCACTTTGCGTTTAGAAGTTGGGTCTTTTCGTTGGCGTCTAGTGACTGCTTCAAGAAAACATCTCCGTAAGGAGGGTCACAACATTTATCGCTCGCCATTTTAAAAATACGCGCGCTATGTAACTTTCTAAGGGGGACTACCGCTATATGATCGAACGACGCATATATGGATTAACTCTCTCTTTACGTAGACATAGTGCTAATTTATGAATGCAAAGCCTTTTCAATCTATATAGTCATAATTGTTTTAAGGCTTTGGAAAGTATTAAATAAATACTTCGAAGATCTATATTTTTTATTTAATAAATATTGGAAATTCCGAATCATGCCTCTAAACCTTCCAATATCACCCTCACCCATACCCTTTAGTTTTCTCACCGTTTTTAGCATATTTGAATTTTTATTTTCCTGGATCAATGTTACGCACGTGCGTAAGTGCGTAACGCTAGCTACGCCCCTGCTATTGATTGGCTCATTTTCGCTTGGGTTTACTTATTGGGACGGCAGAGAAAGGGAAAGCGACAGAAATATCATAAATCATTAAGATGCTTGTTCATTGGTTACTTTTTTCTGGGGTTTTATATTTTTGTGACAACAGGGAACATATTTTTATGTTTGACTATGATACAAAAGAGAAAGAACATCAAAACACTCGGCAATCTGATTAATACTCGGGCGCTACGTCCCTCTCGTACAAATCAGATAGTCTCGTGTTTCGATGCATTTTCCATTACTAACTTACATTTACTTATCTTGTTTTTATTCTTGTATTGTTTCACGCATATTGATATTACTTAAATGTCTTAGAACTGGATGAAGCTATGTCTGCTCGTAAATTGCAATTTGTTTGAGCAATGGAGTGGTAATACTTTATATATGCTACATGTATTTTAAACTGTCAAGTTAAATTACTTACAATATAATTTTTGCTTACGTTCTTTGAGAGATGTGCAGTGTACATAAAATATACCTTGTTAAACATGTTCATTTTATTTTTTTATTATAATAATGTAATAAATGTATGTATATTTAAATGGTTATTCCAAAATTCCCCTCTTGAATTTTAATATCACAACTCTATTGTTTTATATCCCAGGTTGGGCTCTAGCAATATTGTAGGTTATCATGAAACGTAAAATACAATAATATATAAGAAGCGCCAAGACTAGTATTAACTTTCGTTTAAAAGGGACAAGAAATGGTTATAAGTTAAACGGTTCTCATATAATGGGAAAATAGACATAAGGAGTTGCCAACTACTCAATAAAAATGACAATAGCTTAGACAACTTCGCACTAAATATAACATGATCTCTCCGAATAGCCCCTACGAGTATGGTATCTATATTATTATAAGTAAATATGTGATCCTGATATCTATGGCTTAAAGTTTCTACAGAAGGTCTGTCTTGATCAGAATATATGGGAAAACCTTTGTCCAGCACACTTATCGACGCAATATTTCAGCAGCTGGTTTAAATCTCGATTTGTGGATTTTAAAAATTGAACTTGATTAAAATCAAGTTATAGAATAAATTGAATTAAACTGAAACTGGTGAAATGAAGTATATGTATCAATATACATATTTGAAAAGGCAAACGTGTAATTACTCATATTTGCATATCAATTATTGAAAGGTTTTAAAATATATATTAAGAACTTATAAAAATCAGTCTCTTTCCTGAAACGCAGAACAATTTTATCTTTTTTAAATGCTATTATTGCACCACTCAATGATCAGAGATGCTGTACATTGACTCATATGAAAACAAAAATATAGCTCACAGTAAAATAACCGTTAAATGAAGAATTAAAGATATCCTCTCTAGAGAATTTAGCCGTTTACGTAAAAGAAATTCGTCTATTGTGATTATTAGATTTATTTGATACCATTCAATTGAACCGTCTGGTCTAGTGATCGTGGAAAACATTCGTGCGGAATGTTTTATTAACTGCAAATATGTATATAAAAAGAGGCAGATTTGAGAATAATGTCCTTTTTTGAGACCCAATCTTTGACATACTAATCATCAGATAATTCAGATATAAGTTTGTTACGCACTCACACATACACACATTTGTTCCACATACAGAGATTAATTATAAATTAACATTTTAGTGTAGAAAAATGAGTAAGCAGTGAGCTAGCATTTCTTTTTCTGCATATCTTATCCAAGCTATAACAAACATGTTTTTCCTGAATCATATATAAGAGAGGTACTTGAGCTTTTTTCCATAACAGTATATGATATTTATTGGAAAATCGTCTGGACTTTTGACATAATACATGAGCGTAACTTTACCTCAGTGTTTTATTTCCTTTTAGAGTCTCGTATCAATTTATTAATGGAAATGGAGCTAAAAGGTTATAAACAGTGTAAACAAAATAAACTAACAATAGGTTCGGAAAATTTTATTTATGTTCTTCAGTTTTCTTTTGATAGATGCATGTTCATACAAACGATATGCATATTATATCTGATACTGTTTTGTTGCACAATCTATTGCCGTCGTGAAAGGTTCTATTTCGATTTTTTTATTTGTCCTCAGAATATTTTACAATTTTTAGATATTCAAATGTTGATAAGGATCTAAGGAAAGAAAAGAACAATGCAGATATAACAGTTGACTCAGTTGTATTGGATCTATGACAAGTTTAGGCTATTCGTTAGAAATCCATGGAGATAAATTAAATAACCCATTATATTATATTTAATGTTCATATTAATCTTCAACGAACAATGATTTCAAAGCTATAAACACATTATATGCGGCAATGTTTACAAGGTTAAATCGGGGTACTTTTGTTGATAATTGTTTAATTGTAAACATTACTTTCATAAATAGTATTATTTTTCATTTAATATAGGTCAGAAATATTTTTTTGTTCACAAATATTTCTTAGAGAAATATAACACTCTTAAACCAAACAATCTTAAATCAATTAAATCATCTAATATTAAAAAACTTAGTCTTACACTGCAAAATGATACAAATGGCTTGCATATTATCCTTACAAACGATGTACATTTGTCAGTAATGTATTTCCATATTATGTTCGAAAAAGTAAAGTATTTATTTGCTTAACTTGATATGCAAACTATTGTGACATTTATGTGTCAGATGCAACATTTTAAAAATGTAAATGACAAACAATAGCTTCTTAAAATATACAATATGCATTAACATTATAACAAGAGTTGCATAGAAACAATACGACAATAACAAATAATTTACATTGTCCAACCAGTACATGTTCGGAAAAGATGTTATTGGTGAAGATTGGATTTTTTTCTGGAAATGCACTTTTATTATTTCAATTGTTGTAAAATAAATGTACTCGTTAATATAAAAGCCAAGCACTTAAAATAATAAAGCTATGGATAACATTAATTGTTAACAAATACTCTTTTATGTTTAAATATTTTAGTTCAAAACTATTATTTAAAACAATCATTTACAGTTTTAAATGCGCTGTAAACAGAGCATTTAAAGTGCAATAAATTTCAGAACAAAATATAAATAGGTCTTACAGAAATATTTTTTCTATGATATATAAGTTTATTACTCAAACTATCAAGGTCACAATCAATGCAGAGTTTAAGAAAAAAAGAAGTACTTGAAAAGGCAGATAGCATGTTAATATTATAGCATAAACATAAATTTATACATTTAACATGTACAAGAAACGAACGGTACGATTTTCGTTTATTTACAATAATTGAAACCAGGAGCCGATAAGAAATAGCTAATGGCAAGATGCATCGTTTGAGGGGAAAAAAAGTTTTATGGCTTGTGCATGCGAAAAGTCATAATTTGTGTAAAAACATTGAAATATCTTAACATGAAAATGAGGCACAGTAATATACAAAGTAATATTATAATAGCTGTTATATTAACGTGACTGTCTGTATCAGTTATGGTACCTGTGAATGCAGCTTTTCATTTTCCGAAATTCTAGAATGAAATTGGCTTGTCACATACATCAATGAATTTTAATTATTTAACAAAGTGACATTGCACAAATGTTGTCTGCAGAACCAAGAACTGCAAGAACTACCACTGATAAAGGTTCCTGAAATGCAAATACGAATTCTAAACAGATAGCACTTTGCGTTATCATTAAACGTGTGTCAACTCTGATGCCGAAAATATTAAATATGGCTTTCACAATTGACAGTGAAATACAATGCATTTACATGTAAGACACTTTTAAATGAAATTGTATGTTGTTGTAAATTACTTTTCCTACAAATGACTTGTCTGCCCTTGACTCCTATCTATTTTCATTTTAATATAATAATCATCATTTAATATGCTATCTTTTCTTAGGCTGGTTGCCTATCTTGAAAACACATAACAAACTTGCAAATGCTATTGCTTATCAAGGTACAACAGATTGATTCCCGTCAGGAACAATTAACTATAATGCTATTTTTCCTATTTATTTCTATGAACAAACATTTGATAATACAGTTTAAAAACAACTATTAAAGAAACTGATTTCAATAAATAAAGAAACGCATTATGAATTGATTTTTACGCATATATATGTTTTTGTCAGGGTATGAAATAATATAAGGTATCCACTAACACATCACAGTAATGCGCTTTTGGTTTGAGACATTAACATTACGTTCACGTAATAAGTCATCAACCAGGCTACAAGCGGAAAGCATCGTCTGGCTGAATTGCCAACGGAGGTCATATTGATGCCCAATGATATGACAAGTACTTTGAGCATGCCCGCAATAGGATTTTCCAGTATAGTAATAAACAACACTAAACATTTTGTTCCTAAACTTGTCATTCTGAACAAATTACAAGAAGCAACTAATCATTTAATTCCGTATACGTCCGTAACTCATACGATAAATTTTTCTTGTCAGACTGCAAGAAAATGGTCTAACATCAAGCCTCGCGGTCAAAGAAATGTTAGCATAATTATTCAATTTAACTTCCACAATAGTGTATAAAATATACTTGTTCATATTGTTGACGATGTAAGCATAATATTTTGTTTAATTTTAAACGTTAACTATTTCGGACTACCGGTGACATCTTTATATCATACAATGTGCAAACTTAACAGGAAGGTG